TTTTTTTTTTTTTTTTTTTTTTTGTGATTTCAGAAACTGTTTCTTAAAAACTAGAATTGGACACACTTTGATTATGTAAATAGTGATTTCATAAACATACGAATTATATTAAGTATCTAAATGGTAGTGTTTTTTCTAAGCGTTTCTACATAGCTTTGTACATATTTACTGTCATAAAATAATTTTAGGAATACTGAGAATCCCTCCCATTCACTGAAAAAGATCTGTGTCTCAATTTATAAAGGAACAAAGCAAAAACTGTCACTATTATACATATTCATCAACCTATACTCGGTCCCCATGCAAAAAAATTGGATACAGATCTAAAGTGATGGGCCCTGGCCGGCAGCTCCGTAGGCCAGAGCACCGTCTCCCTGCGCTGGGGCTGCAGGTCAGTCAGCGGAGCCACAAATTGAAGTTTCTCTCTCGCTCTCTCCCCTCCCTTCTCTTTCTCTAAAAGCAATAAATAAAATTTTTAGAAAAAGATAAATTTAATTTTATCCACTTAGAAATATTTTTATTTGGAAATCATTCCTTTTTTTAAACAGTAGGACCCTTAGTTTATCCGAAAGCTACGTGAGAGCAGCTGACTTTCTGACCACATGCGAAATTTAAAACAAAACAGACAGTAGCCAGCAATCACCAACTTTGTTCAACAGGACGGGGCATCATTGGGCTGGGAGCTGTGATCCGTGGGCAGGGTGGCTTCATACCGATTAGGTTCAAGAAGTTGAATTAGGCAGAGACCCACATCAGCACAAAAAGAGAGAGAGTCAAGATCGTCTTCCTGAAATCCAAGTGGCTGTCGTCCGTGTATTGTTAAAACCGATAGTTCCCATTTTGTTGTGACTCGGACCTACATGCAGAGAACCTTGGGTGGCGCAGAATAAAATCAGGAACCATTTTATTGAGACCTGATAGATGAAGGGATGATCTTTAACTTATTCCTTCAGTTGTTTGTCTATCGGGCATTGATTAAACCTTGGTCAGTGGTGGGCACCCAGCTTGCGGGCCCTGCAGTGAAATGGCCTGAAGATGTGTTCACGCC